TCGTGTTGCAGCTTTTGAGGCGTTCAAGCAGCTTGGCCATGGGTGGATATTTACCTTGCATCAAACACCCGAGAAGCCTGAAATTGATTGTGTGTTGTTATATACCTATACCCATATTGTATACCTGTGGAAGGCTTCTGCTGCATTTGTGGTTCTGGTGTCCATGATGCCCCACTTGTTCCACATGCCTTTGAAGTGCCCCTCGTACCAAGTTGAAGTCAGGTACCTTAGGAACTCAGAACACTTCTCGTAGGCCTCGTGGGACCGTGGAACATCAGGCCGATGCAAGGCAGGCAGTCTTCTATGGAGGTGAGGGGGTAGGAAGATAGCTCCCTTTACCGCGTTCCACCATAGCAAGACTTGCCGATCCCGATGAGCACCAGTGATGTACTTCCTCAGACCAAGCGCATCCTTTTTCCTATTCCAGGCCATAGCCAAATGAAACCCACATCCTTCAATCGAAGCAGTAGGGAACACCTTCCGAGCTGCGCTTATGGAAGCTCGTTCAAAATCCAGCACAATCCTCAGACCCTCCACATTTCCAACTCGTTGCAGTTCTTCCTTTAGCTGTCTGAAGATTAGCTCATACGTCCTTTCATTCTTCGACGTCGTTATGGCGTACAGAAGCGGCACGTCGATGGTGTTGTTACAAACACCATGGACTGTGTATAGCTGTCCTTTTCTGTTGGTAGCATCAGGCTGCAGATCATGCACGCCATCAGCTACCAATACGTACAGTCCATGTCGCTGCGCCATCTGCAATAGGGAATCTATTTCGGGTGCGTAACTGTAATTTTAGGCTCACTTCGATCGTCTCCAAAGAGTAATACATGTGGAGGCCTGGACTTTGGAATTGCAGGAATCGGGATCCGTTCGCCAAAACTGCATGTTCATCTGATACTCTTCCCATCGAGCAGCTTACATCTTTAGGACCCCGTATTGCCCTACAATCGCCAGTTACTACCACTATTACTACGTATCAATCGTACCTTCTTATGGTTCTCTCGCGCGAGCTAAATCCATCTCTG